CGGGAGAAAACAACCTTCCTTGAAAAAATAAAGCCCTTAAAAAATAGGTTCAATTAGGGTTTAGTAATTGCATTGCTATTTTGCTTTTCTTTGTTTATTTTTTGTTTTTCAAGTGTGTGTGCAGATCCTGCAGCTTAATGGGAGATGCATGAATAAAACTGTTTTGACCCCATGACTGACCTTTTTAAGACTTTCTATTTACTTCACAGAAGTTTCAGGACTGTATCAATATGTCACTTCACATGAGCACTCTACAGGGACGTGAAAAATGGTGTGCGAACTGAGAACAAAAATAAAAACATTTTACAATTCAAAGCTTTGTTCCAGTAAGTCTCTTCTCAGGAGAGAAGACATCTACTCACCCTAAACATCTCTGCAAAGAGTTTTCACATGTACCACAACCTCAGGGCTCACAGCAAGCTTTGTGTGCTTATACTTTTAATATAGCCTGCAAGGAAAATGGAGAGGATGGAATGGGGTGGGACGGGATGGGACGAGATGGATGGACATTGCTGCGAGGGAGCTCTGGTGTGGTGCTAGCTGATTTAAATGGCAATTTCTTGTAATTGTCATCTAGTGGATTGCACACGAACTCAGCAAGCTAAGCTCTTTCTATGTTCAGTGCTGGCTTTTACTCTGCACGCCGAACAAATGGAAAACACTGCCAGCTGTTTCTACTCTTCTGGCTGCTTTGCAATAGGGTATCTGTGCTTAGCCAGCTGATGGCACTCACATTTACTGTCACTAACATCAGGGTTTACTGCCCACCTTCTCTGTGTGCTGCCTATAGCAGGCAGAAGAATGGTGATGTATTGAGCCTATAGTTGCTTCTGCACCCACCTGACATAGGAGGAACTAAACACGACAGCCAAAGGGCCCCATGTTCTCCCTCTCCCTGCACAGGCACACACAGTCTCCCCACTGTAGAGCTTCTCAGTTGCGGTCATGCCATGCTGCCCCTCACTCTGTCTTGCACTTAATTATCCTCCACAATATGTATTTGAGAGTATGGGCTCAGTAGGTATTCACTTTTCCTGGATGATTTTGTATTTTTGAGGGGGGCAAAGAGAGAGCTAATATTCAATAAGCAGAGAAAGAGAAGATTAAAAAGCACATCTATTTTATTTTTGGAATAATTTGTGTGTTCCTTCTGTCATGTCTTGATGGTTAAGAGGGATGACTTTATAAAAAATATCAAGAATATCTGCATCAAATTCTTAGCTCAAATTTTGCTTCAAATTGTTTTCCTAATACTAGTGACCCAGCAAAGAGGTGTTTGTACTTTCTGTAAGATCAGTATTAAAGATTATCCATTTTATTTAACATTTAGAATCTAGAGAATCATGTTACTCTTAATACACCAAAATATTTTAATTGACTATTGAATGTTTCTGAAATTAGATTATCTAGGATATTGGCTATTTAATGTAAGAAAGCTGATAAACTTTTTGAATGAGGCTGGTTGTAATAACAAATGGAATACTTTCCTTCAATAACCCTCAATCTCAATGTACTAATTTTTAAGTAATCTGAACAGCTTCAGAATTTACACATTTTCCAAATAAGGTATCAGGTCTGCCTTTGTAATTTCTGCTCTGATTGCTTCATGACTCTGTGGACTTTTGGCCTCCCACCTGCAGAACTTATTAGTCCACAGCAATGGTCAAACTTGTATTAAAGAGAATTTAAACAAACAAAAATCATAGGAAAACTCTTAATAGCTGAAACATTTCTATTAGTTTCACTCCCCAGGGCAAAAACTCCAAGCTCTGAAACATCAACACGAGGCCAGATGGAGAAGTGCGATGCTGCCAGCACATCTTCTTGGAGGATATAGCCAGAGTTGAGGGAAATAGCCCAGAAAAATTACATCAGAAATGACAGCTCAGTATCCGTACTACATTCAGTGAATCTCAAATGAAAGACACAATGGTGTTCTTCAACCTCTACTCAATGAGCTATTTAGGAGGTGAGGAGTCATGATTACACAGAAGCAATGCAAGGGAACTTGCAGCTTTCATTATACAATTAGACTTATTGTTATGAAATTGCTTACATTTTTTCTGATGCCAGTCACTTTAATCTCTTACTTAGCTTAGAAATGGGTTAAAAAAAGTGTTCTAATAACAACAAAACAGATGAGGGGTGGGTGTGAAGGAATATAGTCACTCTAGATAATAAACTAAGCCTGTTATGGAGATTTTTTTAGTGCTGACAGATTTCTGCCATCCTTCATAACACAACAATAGAAGACACACCAAAAGTTCTCAGTGCTAGACTGTCAACAAGTACAAAATCATTCAGAGATGTATTAGACATACAGGGACTTATTTTTATTGCTGATCTGTCTGGATGGGCCCCAAAAAAGACAGTTCCTTTATGTAGGTCAGCCAGAATACCGAGCTTTGCATGACAAAAAAAGCCACAATATAGTCAGAAAACAGGTGGGTACTTTGACATTTGCTCTCCATTGGCCTTTATCTTATTTTTGAGCTTACTTTACTGCTGTGATTTTTTTTCTTTGGGTTTTAATTGAAATATCCTTAGGCTTGCTAGCTTGACATTTTCTTATTTTTTTTTTTTTTTTTTTTTAAATCAATTTAAGAATAAAGGAAGCCTGTTTACCAGGCCAGTTTTCCCCAAATATTACTGCTTTATCTATAATTTAAACATGTCATTAATGCACAATATCCAAGTAAAATTTTGCAAATTTTAATCAGATGGGTATAACAAGCTTTCCAATTTTTTTGAAGAAGATTATCACCCATTATGTAACACACACATGGTTTTCACAGCTGTGCAGTAATAGAAAAATCTTAGTTTGCATCTAAGCCTAACTGTTTAGCTCAAAACCAGATCATATTGGAAGTGTTTGATGTTGGCTGCCAGGTGAGAAGTGGGTCCCTACTAAAATTCAGAAGACATTTTGCTGTTGCTTTCCCTGCGGCCAAGATTTCAGCTGTAACAGACTGCAAATATGAATTTCTTTTCTCAGTGCTTTTCCAATTTTCTTCTCCCACATAAATCAAACTTACACTCATACAACTTTATTAGATTTACTCTCAAATCATACTGCTGCAACTAAGAACAGAATCAGACCCAGCAATGCACTTTGCCTTTAAAATAATTAGCTGTACACTGTACAAGCTCCCATTTCTATCCAGCTATATGTGCTGTCCCGAGAACCTATATACTGAATTTCCGCAGATTGTGAGACAAAGTCCTTTAGTTTTATATCAAGGACTACCCTGATTAGAGAGACAAAGCACCACACTTAAATAATTCATGTGCATAGAATCCACATACAGACCCGAAGTTATTGACCAGGCAGAGTAAGTTTTTTTCCAGTCATCACACTGTGCAGTTTTTAAAATAAAGTGCTATTTTCTTATGGCTAAACCTTATATGTGGCTATTGCATGCACACTTCAGGCTGCATTGTCAAAAACTGGAACACCTTCACCAAAAAAGGATAGAGCCTAAGCACTAGGGCAATGACAGGTTTGGTTGGGTTTTTTTTCATTTTATTTTGAGTTCCAAAAGAACTTTTGTCAAACATAGAGCACGTGAACACACAACAGTTTCCTTCACTGTTCCCCACACAGAGCTATTCATAGAGGAGGGATATTAAGGAGTAATGTTTCTAAAGTCATAGACAGCTTCTCCATTTATTTCAGGTTTTGTCTTGTGATTTCTTTTTTTTTGTTTGTTTGTTTTTCTTTAGTTTAATAGTATGACAAAACATTATAAGAAAAATTTTTTTAAGTACTGTGAATATCAAATAGTATCCATCAATCCCTGAATCATGCTATTCAAAGTGCTTAAATCTACACTAAAAATATAACAACAGAAAAGTACTCCCCATGTGGCTAAGGAAACACCTGCTGATCATCTAAATGTGACTGCGATCAGATAGTTACATCCTACATTTATTTCATGTCCCAGTCTTTACCCCAGGGCATGTGAAGGGGAGGGAAAGGGGATAAAATAATGCGTTGCTTTCAGAGGATGCTGGGGTATTTGGCATCCAGATGAATGAAGGAAAATGCCATCAGTGCCTGACAGGTGTCTGTAAGAGCAAATAAATAATAGCTTTCTTACACTATGAAATTAATCAAATGTGCAAAGCTCTCTTAAAATTTTATCTGGCCTGGAAGCTTATCTTCCATTTATGGATATTTGGCACATGTCCAGAGGGAGACACCATAATGAAGAAGAGATTGTAGAAAAGGACTTGAGCAAATTGTCAGAGAAACAAACATTTTTAAGAAAATAAAAATCAGTGCACATCCCAAAGCTCTATTAGCTTGTTATGCAGATACTGAGATTTCTTGACTTTCACAACAGGAGCACACTCATTTCCTCCCACACTGTCAGTTCTGGGTTACTCCCACAAACATCCCCCAAACTGCAGTTTACCCGCTCTCTACCCATCACTTCTCATTAAGAAGACCAAAATATTATAAGCTGTACTTTTCTCATTGTGACAATCAGGATGAACAAACCCCACACATCCATCATATCAGCCAATACCATTCAGCTACCATAAAAATACCTAAAGCTAATTAATTACATAGACTATAAGGTCTGTTTTCCAGGTTACCAGTTACATTGCTGCCAGGGTAAATCAAACCTGTGACTATGTGACAAAGTGCTGCAACCAGTAACTCCATCCCAACTCCTCTGCTTCTTCTAGAAGAGACTAGCAGAGAGCTTGGCCTAAATATGTTGTAGAGCTACAACACCACTCCTATCTCTTTCTAAAACCAGAAAGGGCTTTTCCATTATTGAAAACATAAGTATGATTAAGATGCTTACTTCATTTATTTTAAAGATGTCCAGTTGTAAACATAGTGGGGTTTTTTTAAACTTCCCTGGCAGCCATAGCACACACAGTATTTGCAACTCCTCAAATATAGAATCATACATAAAAAATAAAACTAATTTATTTAGTCAGTAAAGTGAATAAATTGTTTTTAATACTTCCAGGTCTGATTTAAATATTAATTTTGTATAAATAAAGTTTATTCTGAAAACAATGATATTTGTTGGTATTCATGTCATTTTTTTCTGCCTGAGTTCTTACTGAAATCATGGTGAAATTAGTAAAGTTTTACTTATTGTTACAAGCTAAACCCAAATGAAATAATATTTCTTAATCCTGAATATATAATTTTAAAGCAAATACAGGTTTTGGAACATTAAAATACATGGGGACTCTGTAATCTACAGCAAAATAATGTTTTGCTCTTACTTTTTTAGAAAATAACACTTTCTATAATACAAAGTGACAAACCCTCTACAATACTGTCTTTTAATTCCCCTTTGGTCTAGAAGTCATCACCGTAAAAACCAGCAGGATTTTCTGCACTTCAGTGCCTATTGCCTCACTTGTCTTACTTGCCTGACAATTGCAAATGATCTTATTTGCAGGATTTTGAAAGGGGGAAAAGAAAAATTAAAAATAAAATCCACAACGACATTAATACTTTTCCAAGAAGTGTTAAAATTAGGGTTTGCTTTTATATTTATAAAAGGGATACAATCAACTCATTCTTAAAATAATAATTAAAAAAAAAACAAACAAACCCAAGAAAGCAAAAACCAAACCATCTCTAATTTCTACACACTCTGTAGTGACTACTGTGAAGCAACCGATACAGATGGGTATATTCTGTTGTTTGACAGGTATCTACCAAGTTACATGTTAGATGATCAGACTGTAGTGTTACCCCGAATGCGGGTCATTGTAAGGGCAGGGAAGCAGCAGTGCACATTACAGGAGTAGAAATTAAACTGGAGCTCTCAGTGAGGGATGGGGTCCTTCTAAGAACAAATATTCTCCAAAATGGGTGAACTGCAGCAGGCATGGCCTCCAGGAATCAGGCTAGGCAGGCCAACAAAATGGATGGTGCTTCTGATATCAACATAGCTTTGTCCAAGCATTCCCATGAGAGGTTAAAAACAGACAAACAAAAAGTCTAAAACTATACTAATGAAGCAAAAAAGTTTCCTATCTATACAGCAGTCTCTTCATTTAAAAAAATGTAAATATACAAATTTCAATGACATATAAAACAAAGTCAAAAATGTGAATGGGAAGAGACATGGGTAAAACAGGAAGACTGATGCTACAAAGAAATTGCAAAAAACATATGTACAAGACCCTGTTTTTCCTCGTATGTTATCGATTGTAATGCATGTTTAACAGCAGCAGTCGAGGATGTAGTTCCAGGCACCGGACTGCAGACTCAGCTCCTACTAAAGGGGGTTGATGGCCCCTTGCATTTCGGTCACCAAATGACACTTGATATACTGGTTTCCCGTGGCAAGAGGGGCAGTATCGCACTGTTTGTATGAGCCTCTTCTGGATTCTGCTCCCTGTTAGTTTTTGTCTGCGGTCGCTGCCCATTTATAAGTGTCATAGGGATGTTGCAGTAGGTATGCTGGTTACCTATTGAGGTAAGCGGCAGGGTGCCGGTAGGAGGTACATCGTATTCATAGCTTCGATAATAGTGTTTCTGGCGCATCTGTGAATGATATGTGTTATGAAAGGTGGAGCGCAGGTCTGGATGGGCAGTGGCAAGAGCAGTGGAGGTGGCAGCAGCCATGGAAATTGCGGAGACTGTCTGCAGTTCCCCAAAGGGCCCCTGCTCACTGACATCTAAAACCTGCTCATGTGTGATGGGTTCAATCCTCTTAAAAGGCATTTCGTACTGTAAACGTTTCCAGAACTTGGAATTCAACTTGTTGCATTTTGGTCCATGCCATTTAATGACAGTGAGGAGCTTGATGGTATGTTTCAGGGCCTCGACCTCCTGGTAGTTCATAACTCCCCGTAGTTCACTGCATTCAATCAGTATCACTTTGATTTCACCCGTGACTAACATGTTTCGAAGCCTTGTTTCCAGTTCAAAGATGCTCCAGCCTCTTCTTACCACATAATTTGGAGTCATGACAATGATCAGTCGCTTGCTTTGGTCTACACATCTTGCCACGTCTTCAATGTAGGCTACAAAATAAAACAATTGCTCAAAAATCAATCTAAGAAAACACTCTGATCCCATAGACTGTGGAGAAACAACAGAGGCAAATCCCTGCTCACATTGATCACTGAAATATGCAAAAACATCACTTGCAAATGTGCCAAGATTGCTTGCTAGGACATGATCCTGGGCAACCTGCTCTAGGTGGCCCTGCTTGAGCCGGGGGGTTGGAGAAGAAGACCTCCAGAGAACCCTTCCAACCTCAACCATTCTGTGTTCCTGAGAAACATCTGTTCCCCCATGTGCTATGGACAGTGAGTGTTTCTTTCTGAGCTGTGGTTTTGTATCAATAACTATATCTTTATTGGAACAAGTATGTCCATTACCATTTTTTTCTTTAAAAAGGCAAAGTCACCCTGGTAAGCAACAGAGCAGCAGCTATGCTCCTCAGGGTCTCAGTCTCAAACCCAAATGACACTCTAAGGTCTACTGTAGGGTTAGAGCTTTCTTTTCCTTTCATGCCTCCACCACACACATTCACAAAAACAGTGTTGTGTCCTGCAAATTAATGTTTAGTTTATTGTAGATTTAAAAAAATATCCATGTGATTGCTTGATGTTGTGCTTTGCCTATGTCAAGCATCTTTTCTTATATTTAATAAAAGATACCGATCTTAGTAGCTGTCTATATGGTTACACTGAAGTTATGAAGAATACTACAGCAACTTATAAAAAATTACTGTATGTAACGTTGGGATATGTGAAAGAAACATGAAAAAGGTCTACTTGTACAAGTTGGATTAAATTCTAATTTTCAGTATCTTAGAACGATCCAGTACCTCCACTGCACATTTATCTGCAGTGGACCCTAACATAATTGACTAATCTGCTCTGCTGTAGATGGTATTACTCAACTGTTGTCTTAGTCCAAACACAACTTTTTTCTTTCCTGTCTGAATTTCTGTAATATATACTTAGAATCATGGATATCTTTCCAGGCAAACTCTAAGGAACAGAAGACAAAGACCTCTGTATTCCTTCCTAGATATGCAAGCTCTCAAAAAATCTGTGAAAAAAATGTTAGTCTCATTCATTTCCTTTACTTATGCATGCCCTTTCTGCATCGTTTCACATTCAATCAAGATAATACAATTACTAAAAAATAATCCTCTTATCTGGGAAATACACTTTAAGTATGTTTGGTGGTTTATCTTCACCACTCTCCAGGACAAGGGAGGAAAGATGACATTCTGAAGGACAATACTAAAACAATCACTGCAATCACTGCATTTGCTGTTTAGGAAGCATACGATCATAAAGACATGACTTACTTCCTGTGGGAATCAAATCTCTGTCTGGTATGAACAACTTATATCCATAATGCTTTTCAAGCATATCTGGTAAGATCTCAAGAGCAAACCTTTCTTCTTCTCCAGTTTCTTGATTCCACTGGTCAGGATCCACTTTGGTATAAGATAGATATGCATCATAGTCTTTGTTATCTAAGGAAAGAGAGGAAGAAAGTAAGTTAGTTTATTCATTATTCTTGAAGATTTCCTAAATAATTCCTCATGAATTATTTCTGGGAGAATTTCCTAGGATTAGGAAATTGTTTAGATAAAATGGCAAGCTTTCACTCAATCAGCAGATATGAATTCATTCACCTTTCCTATTTCACCTAGTAGAGGTAATCCTTATTTACACAGATGAAAAGGAGAAGGGATCCATATCCATAGACTGAAGTCAGACAAACATTTGTGCAAGGCTCTGTATGAAGGAAATCTACTTAACTGTGAGGTGATAGCTATTTGCTGAAAGGAATTTGAATTCTTCTCTAGCTTTAAATGTGAAAATAAAAGCATGGAAATACCTAAGATAATGTGCAATTGTCTCTGCTGCATAGTAAAAACATTTCAGTCTTGCCAGATTTTTCCAATAAATTCAGGGCCTGGAGCTGAAATGTTCTATGCATATGTGTAGCTTACTTGTAAAACTCATTGCCTTTCCAGGTCTGAAATTATTGCCAAGCTTAAATCTTTGCAGCATCATCTCTTCATAATGCAGTTTAAATCTCTTGAATTCTGTGTGCTTAAATTTGCAAATTTAATGTTGCATTAATGTACATTTCATTACTTGACAGTGTGTTATTTCATTTCAATATAAGAAATAAATATGGCTGTTTCTTAAATGTGCTTGGTATGCCTACTTGAAAGACTGAATCAAGAGCCGTCATTAATTTTCATTAGAAGGTCAATAATGCCAAGTGCTCTGGAACTAATTCAGTGGAATAAGAGGTCACGTTTTGACTTTTGTTGTGAAGAAAGCAGAAAAAAATCAATGGCAAGAGTAATGAAATGTTAACATCCTTCTAACTCTCTTGACAACACTATGCACAGGCTATCAAGAACATCAATTGCTTGTAAAAGAAACCTGATTGAATACTTGACTATGTGTCATAACGTTATATTCAATCAATGCTGACTTCAGTTATTTACTGAGTCACTCCTTTTCCCATTTTACACCTTTTTGTACTCTTTTAGCATTATTTGGAAAAGCCTGCCAAATGCAGAATGGGTGCAAAGAGTATAAATTAAATTAATGAAACAATGCTAATCTTGAAGAGTCAACTCTTCCTTCTGAGGAACCATGCATACTATGCTTATTAAAATTTGCAGATAACAAAATTTAAATGATAAAAATACTTTCAAACTTTCTAAACCCATGAAATGACCGTGTGCTCATTCTCTCCCCTGCACAGCTTTTGTGTGATATCATCCACTGGATTGTTATATCCACAGAAAACAAAACGAACAAACAAAAAAAAAAAAACAACAAAAAAGAAAAATAAGAACAAGAGGAGCACTGCCTTCTGTGTTTCACTCTTTTCATTAATTTTTTTTGGAGTATTTGTGAAGCCATGATCCTTAACAATAGACAAGCACATAATACCTCTGACAGTGCCTTGAAATAACACTGAATGGATTAATTATAAGGTAAAGGGAGATCACATAGCAGGTTTTTACTTCTACAATAGGACAGTGTTAACGCAGCAACTGAGTTAACACATGGAAGGATCATGAGATAGGTGAGGAAATTATGACAAATGACAAAATGATGATGCGGTAATGACTTTTTCTATTGTCAACTTAGTAATGGACATAACCATAGTACATGCTCAAGACCAGTGTTGTTCTGTTGAAAGTCTTTGAGTAAAGATGAGAAAGTATCGTATCTCAAAAGGAAAAATAATAAGAAATAATGCAGTATTCCAACTGCTTTAAAGACTCAGGGTATTGTCTGTTATAATGATTTGTACACTCAGAGGGAAAATTTTTCATGCTATGCTACTGTTTTCTTGCATATATAAATATTGTGATAATGCATTTGTTTGAAATATACATTTTTCATACCATGGACGTTTAACATTTCCATTAACTACAACTGCATTATCCTGTATTGCAAGGAACATCTCTTTTCATCCTAGTTCCCTAGTTTTAACAGCATTTGAAGGGCAAAGAATGGCCAGGATCTAGGATATGTCTACACAGATGGTTTCAGGCAATCATGAATTTATTCAAACTCCAGTCCAGCAAGATGTGTAGTCTGATATGGGAAACTGATAGATGCATTAGCACAGTGGCTTCCTTGAGCTATTATACTCCCCATCTGTCAGATTTTTTTAACTTTAATGAAAAATAAAAAGTTCCGTTTACAGTAAAATTACCTTATGTAGTAATTTTGTTATCTGATGGGCTGACATTCTGGCATGAGCAGACAATTTGCAAAATGTGAAATGCCTGGGATACCCATATGCCTTTGTTTTACTTCTATTGTATTTATGTATTAGCCTGCTTTTAGTTAACTAAAATTACTTCGGTTACATTGCCAGATCTGTGAAAGATTTTTAAAACTACATCAGGCAGATAGCAACTCACCCATCAGAAGCTATCTTTTCTGTGATGTGATCAAAGAGCAATGGCATTATTTACTATTTTCTCTAATTATTATGGATAGTCAAAAAATGTAGAATATCAGTTGTAATGAAAAGTGGGAGAAGTCTTAAATTGTTGAAATCTTCCATCTCCATTTAAATGGTCCCATCTTCTCAGTTAAATGGTCCCATCTACTCCTGCTTGTAATGGGTGGGACTGATGCCTACACTCTAAAGAACATTTCAGATCTTTTTTTTTTTTTTTTTTTTTTTTTAAAAACATGCTGTCCCAGTGGATTGAGAGGGACAGACGGGAGCCTGCATACAGCCAGGTAGGTCTTAAGGCTGAGAGAAACCCTTGGAGCTGGGTCTCATATCTTGCCAGTCTCTTGACCATGTCATATGGAAGCAGAAGGCTCTTGGGTTTGCTCTCAAGCCCTTTGTTTTTGGGCTGTTTTCCATGTAAGCCTTCCTTCAAGCAACACATCCAGGGGTTACCAGACTTCCAGCAATCATGCAGGAAGTTCATCACAGATTTTTTCTTTGCTTGACCATTAACTAGAACAGGTATTTTACCTGTAAAAAATATTTGCTGTCAGCACATCTGCTTTTTCCAGGAAAAATACACTTTAACAGAAAATTCCTGATCACAAATCAAGTCATAAAGGACTTGATAGTACTACTTATATTATTATGTAGTATGATAATTACAGATGCGGCTACACAATAAGTTAAAATACTGGGTGGATCAAATATTGAGTGTGAAAAAAAAAAAAGGCAAAAATCCAAACTCAAAGCCAACAAAGCCTATGGCAAACTAAGCGTTTAAATGACAATTTCCCCATTTCCCTTCATCAGCAAACAATTAAGTCTTCTATCCAAGCATCCTCAGAATTAAAATGCAATTGATTGTTGCTTGCACTTTGGCTTTAGATATAGATTATGCCATTTCAAAGATTTGTTTTTGTCAGGCTCCTGTGCATTAGTAATAACCTAGAATATAGTTACTCACTACCTGTTTCCTCCCACACTTAGGAAGAAGAATACCTGTTAATAACCAAAGGCAGGGATGTTGGTAATTTAATCTCAAGATTTTTTTATTTCCAATGGAGATTGAAAGCAATTATCTACACATACTTTTGTGCCTGAAATCACTCTTATTCCATTAACTATTTCAGGATTATTTTTTTAGAAACAGAGTAAATTCATTGTGCACTGCCTCCAGGTATGTTGCAGAGCCGTATTATGTAATGGCTGTCCTTTAGTGAGCAGAGATCAGTCTGACATACAATATCATGCAACAATAATACTTTGAAACATTTTGATGTAATAAGTTCCCTGTTCCCATTCTTTGTGAATGGACAAGTAATCCTCTCCAGTTATGCAGTTTGTAGTTGCTTTCTGCTGCTTACAGGTAGTATACAGCTAGGATGGAGCTCTTCAACTCATCAGCCTCCATTTCTCTAAAGTTTAGTTGTGTCTATTAATTGAAAATATTGAAACAAACCAAAAAAAAAAAAAAAAAACAAAAGCAGACCTTGCATGGACAAATTCAAGCAGACTTGATGCAAATAAATTCTTTGCTATTGTACTGTAGACAACCACGAGAGCACGTGGAAGTTCTAGATAAGTTCATCAATGTGGGATCAAATACAGCCTGTGCTAAAGGTATGATGCATTCCGTCCACAAACGTTTCAGTCAGCCCAAACCCACCAATACTGTAAGACTCTGGTCAAAACAGACTGATGTACAAACTTTGCTATACCATTCCAACTGTTTTATGGAGTTGAAAGCGAGGACACTGAGTAATGGTCATGGAGCTGTGCTCAGCTGCAGGTCTGACAAGATTGTTTGGATCAATCTTACAAGGAAACATTGAGGGTGAAATTCCAGCTTCATTAATAACAAACGGAAACATTACTTCCTTTAGTGGCACAGGATTTTAGCAAAAACACCTGTTGCATCATTGCAACATGCATTCTTTAATGCTGTCCTTTCCTTCTGGTACTCATCCAAACTTAGAATATGTTATCACATTCCCTGTAACTTTCTACAGTGTTAATCCAGCAGAAGTGATACAAACTTCTAGGGGATGAAGTTGCAAATGCTGTTTGTTATTCCAAGGATGTGCTCAGCAGCAGTCACTTAAAGGCTCAATGTGAGCATAAAATGAAACTCAGACTCTATATGCATCTACTTTTTCACATGCAAATGGGATCTTTGGCTAAGTAAATTGCTATCAGACATCTAAGAACTCATCTGTATGCATGCTCTTTTAACAGCTACACATGAAGAAATGGTAAGCTGGTGCCTATAGAGGATAGATAAAGCCTTCTCTTTTGCAGGGACCAGCAAACAGATTAAACTTTGAATTTGTGTTATATATGTATATGTTTCCTAATGATTTCCATGTTGCACTCCAAGAAGCCAGCAGCTCGGGCTTTTAAATGTTTATTAAACCTTAAACATTGGAGATACTTCTGCTAATAAGGGACAGAAGAAATATATATATATATATGCATGAAAAACTTAAAATAAAAAAAAAAAAAAAAAAACAAACAAAACAAATG